CACACCGACTCGGACACTCACACCCGCACCCGACACCCACACACCCACACCCACACCCCATGCCCCCGCGCACCCACACCAACATCACTTATGGTCTAACGAAATGGTGAATTATCTCTTTCATTTGTTCGTAGTCATCGTTCTGATGATTTTAGTATAAATAGGACCGAAAATACAAACACAAGTCAAAAATAAAATTTAAAAACAAAGTAAGAAGAAAATACAAAATTTTATTATTTTTATTATTATTTTCATGTATTCTTGTAACATGATAAATGAATAAAAAGGAAATTTTTTTTTAAACTATGAAAGTTTATATAAGGAAAAAATTCAATAGACGATCAATAGTTGATGTCTTGTATTAATATATGATGTTGCTTCAATAAATATAGTATCTATGAATTTATTATAAAAAATCCATGTTTCTCTTATTATTATATATGTTATCTTCATCTGATTGCTTTTCAAATCAAAACGGTTCCAATGCCAATATACATTCTTTTCCAATACTAAGCCATCTTCCTTTTTCAAAAATCATTTGCAATCGATTCTTGTCTAGGTTTTTCATTCATGCCGTGATAGTGCTTGAACTGATTTTACGCATGGTGAAGGTGAATAGTGATGTTAATTATATAGTTCATCTTTTGCGAATGAAACATTATATCGAAGGATTAAAAGATGAGTCTTCGATAAAAAGTAACTCGTTTATTATCTTAGTATTTCTTGTCGTATAAGAAACAATATGAATGAAACAAATATATTATTATTTTGTTTTTGTTTGCAAGCTTTGTTTCAGAAATATCGCTATTTTTTGCATTCCAAGATGCTATTTTTCTGTGTAACATGATTATTAGCATTTTGATAGCTGAATGAGTGAAACAGGACGACTCCCAATCAAACTATTTTTTCCGAACGTAGTTTTGAAAAAGAATGAAAAATTACCATCAATTCGTGCTGAGCTTTTGCGTGATTTTGGAAACGTTGTTAGTGTATGTTTGCAGAACTAAAAATTCTTTGTAAATTTTCTTAATAAGTTTTTTTTGTAATATCTTAACATTGTTGTATATATTAAGAGAATGACACGGGAATATTCCCAAAAGAATCAGAAATATGTTATTGTAGAGAAAATCGTACAATATTCCCATATACAATATATCCTGCTGATCTTGATGACAATTTCTTTCTGTTCTTACACGTCACTTGTAAAAAATATCCCATTGGACCCATAATACTAATCTGAGAGGACTTTCTGACACATTCTCCCATTACATATATATTCTTGTTGTTCTCGTTTATTATTTGTATTCTACCATATAATATTATAGAAATCCAATGAATCTTTTCTTATCATTTTTCTTCATTGTCATCTCTCGATTTAGTGTCGATACCAGATATATTGATGAAGATCGGTTAGTTTTGCGTTTTATGTTTCACGTTAGGTTTATCATGTTGATTTTTAGTTTAACATCCGGTCAACGACTAAATCACAATGATTGCTTGGTCTCTTTTGACAGACGTTTTTATTTATGTATGCAAGACGATGGCAATCTTGTGATCTATAAAGGTCCCAACACCAAACATCGTATTCCTATTTGGGCTTCGAATACACCTGGTAAAGGTGCATATCCTCATCGACTGGAAATGCAGGCCGATGGAAATTTAGTTATTTATGATGATAAAGGTGATGCTACTTGGGCATCAGCTACACATGATCGAGGCGCTATAAATGCTCTCATGATTATGCAATCTGACGGCAATTTAGTCATCTATAATAATTCACCTAGAACTCCACTTTGGGCCAGTAACACACATGGCCCAAGTGGCGTTGATTGTCAAAAAGCAGACACATGGCCACATGATTGGACAAAATTCGAAGATGAAGTGCTTGCACTTGTTAATGAAATTCGTGAAAAAGGAGCTAATTGTGGAGGACATTGGAGACATCGAGTATCGCCAATTAAACAAAACTGGAAGTTGACACGTGCCGCACGATGCCATAGTGTTGACATGGCTCTTTATACTTATTTCGATCACGTTGATCAACAAGGTGGTACTTTAGGTAAACGAATAGAAGAAGTTGGTTATCAATTTGAAAAGATAGCAGAGAACATTGCCAAAGGTCAAACCTCCCCTCAACAAGTTGTAAACTCTTGGATCAATTCACCTGGTCATTGTCATTCTATTATGAGTGATTATCAAGACATCGGTATCGCCTACATAGGTCAAAACTATTATCCAGAGAGTCATGTCTGGGTACAGAATTTTGGTACACCCTTGTAATATTTTAAAATAATTGAATTCAAATAAAATTTTTCACCAAGCTAGATTTTGAAACTCAACCTTAGTGATGAACTGTGCATTCATTCAAATGTTCGATTAGCAATTGGGCGAAATTTTCATTGTACAATTTTATTAGAAGAGTCTTTCAAATATTCAGCGCATTGCTAGCCAAGTCTCCATCGCCATTCAACTAACTTTTTCATCTCAATCGGGAATGAAAACGTGAAACTTAAAATGATCATGATATTTTGTGTTCGAAGATTATATTCAGAAAAGATGAACTCAAACAAACATCAATTGAATTTGAAAGCGTAGCTGTATTTAGTGACTGATTTTTATAGAGAGGCATATATTTTCTATAGTCGACTTTAACGTAAAATCTTTTTAAAGGAATAACCACACTTTTCCTTCAATTTTTTATTCTATTCTTAAAACTTTGCCTTCTCCGCCGGCATGCTTTCTAATGGAAGAATTTTACCGTCAAACAAAACTGGATGTATCACCATAAAAATTTCTCTATTTTGCTATTTCGAAAACTCCGGTGGAACGAACTGTACGGAATACTTGAAAACAATACGAAGAAAGTCTTTAGCCATACTAATGTCGGATTTTTTTAAAGTGCGCAACACCATTTTTGGAATGACAGTTCATAATTTCAGGCTATCGAGCTGCGGTTTTCACCGTTCCATAGAGGGTGTGGTTGTGGATATTATCTTAGCTGATACCCACACCCACTTTCGAAAATCAAGTAGGGTTTATGAGTGCGCGAAAAACTTCTAAGAGTTTCTGATAGTAACAAAAGTCGGAAACTGAATAGAATTTCCGAGCTTCGAAAATGCTTCAAAGGATTTTCGTGTATCCGAAAGCTCTATCCGATTTCCATTTTTTGTTACTTTCGTAAACTCTTAAAAGGTTTCCGAGTGCTCTGAAGTCCATTTTTTACTCTTGAAAAACCTTTTAAGGCTTCCAAAAATTAAATCGGAAACGTATTTTGATCGCTTTTCGCAAATATCTATTTTTTAGAGTATACTATGGATTTTGAGCAGTGTTTCTAATAGAAATCTTACAACAAAGAGTCAAATGACATTTTATATTCGTAATCTAAGTGTAACATGACATTCTGTTTTTTTAAGGAAAGTATCAAAAAATTTCTAAAGTGTAGATTGTTAGAATTAGATTAAAAAAAAAGATATATTTCATGTGAATCTATCGGAAGTATTCTACTAGGAGAAGGTTCACATCCCAGTCTCGCAAAATTTCACCGTGTTATTCAGTTTTTTGCTCAGCAATTCTCAAAACATTACTGGTATCTATGAAATATGGTTAATTCTAAAATTTTTCCTATCGGTACATTTCTGATATGTCATAGATAAGGTCAAATAGAAAATATAAAACTTTTAGTATTTCATGACATCCGATGAATAATTCTTTTATCTAATATTTCATAAACAAGATCAAAAAACAACATAAAACCAAAATGATTATTAGTTTAGTTTAAACATTTACGACATATTTTGTGCATAGAGCACTGAATTCGCGTGAAGACGGTGTGTCTAAACTAAACTAGTATCCAATAATAAAAGAGAAATGCATGGATAAGTTTCATTGCTGTGAATTCTACTTTTCTCAATCAATGATGATTGGAAAAGTATTCACATAAGTTGCCTAAAACTTATGTTAGATATGAAAGAGCAATAACAATTGAAGACTAGAGAAGTGTTCGAACAAAATCAACGATTAACTAGAAGATGTTTAAAGATATTGACTACATCACTATTAATCATGAAATTTTGAAGTTGGAAGGTTGCATACCATGAAAAACAAAGTGCAAATTATTTTCAGCAAGTATCTGCTTCACATTTTGTTTTCATGAGCAAAGTGTTAAATAGGGTGTCAATCGAACATTGTAAAGATCCTGGATACTTTGTCATCATGGTGAATCCTTGTTGGGTGTGGGTTTGCGTTTTCTCTGCACGCACAACCACCCACACCCCACATCCACCCACACACCACACCGATACCCACACGACGCCCACAGACCCACACCTTCATCCACGTCCGAACACTTACATTCACACTAGTGCTCACATTTGCACTCTTGATCATACCTTGAGTTCATCGTCCACGATTATTTCCATGTAGTGATGAAGCAATCGATTGAAAAGAGAAATAAATCAACCATATTGAGTGAAGTAGATGTATGTTTGTATCGCTGCGAAAATGTTAATTACACGACTTAGTAAGTGAAAAGCATCCTAAGCATATAATGATCCTGATTTGAATGAATCAACTGACGAATGAAAAAGACCTATGCAGAGTAATTTATTTTTCATAAATAATTCCATCCATCAGCAGTGTAACTATTCGCATGGGTCTACTTCTGAATCTGTGTATGATATGTATCATTGGTCATACTTTACTTAATCCTTGTGCATCGACAACACTAGAAAATCAAGATAGCACAACGAATCGATGCAAGTGAAGAAAACTAGACGAAACGAGATACTATTCAGATTAAATCTATTTAGGTCAAACCGGAGTCGTCTGCATGGGACAGTGTACTCCTTCATCTGACAATAGCAATTGCGCTCGGCGTGATGTAATTCAAGGAGTAACATTTCCGCAGCCATTTACTCGAGCACCCAACGTGTTGCATATCGGATTCTTTCACTTAGACGTGAGGTAAGTGAGAAATAAAATCAAAGATGGTAAGTTGAGTTTCTATTCATATCTGTTGTGTAATATGTTAACGAAGAAGCTTCCAGAAACGAAGTACAAAGCACGATTAAATAGAGAAGACAGCGTCTGCTTACAACCAATTATTGTTGAAACGAAACTATTGTCTTTTAGAAAGTTCACTTTACATATTTGTGTATTAGTATGATAAAAATAAAGAAGATATGTCCGATTCACCTTTCAGCTCTAAAGGGGCTCTCATAAAAAGCTTTATTTACACATTTTCATTTGTTCGTTAGTTCAAATGATAATTGAATCTTCTAGAATTCATTGAATAACCACTAGTGAGGTTTTTGAATCCATAGGCCTCTACATTCCAATTAGACTAACCAGGAAGCACTGATTAGCGTAAAAACCGTGATCAAAATACATATTCTTAATACAGACGTGCCATTGGTTCTCGATTTTCTTATTTATGCAATCTCTGTTCAAAAGAGAGAACTAAATCATGCTCACAAATGTTAACACTAGTTGCAAGAAATGTTCTCTGATTATGCCCATGTTGTTACTGAGCCCATGAAGATTCTCATACTGCGAATTTGCCTGTTGCTCGACTCAACTAGCTTTCAAATGAAGAGTCGCATAAACACCTAATCAAGATATATTTTGAAGATAAAGATATATTGTACTTACTAAACTGAACATATGCTACTTTTCGAAATGAACAGATTCTGTTTCAGTTTAAATTGAAATTTGGAAAAGTGAGTAGAACCAAAATGAATCACATATGAAGTCTGTTGAATAGAATAGTGCTTTGTCATTGGTTTCGGTGTCTACAAATAATTATTTGGCTGCCCAGTCTGAATCTAGCTCACGCAATCTGAGTTTGTATTGTCATATCTGTTTGATATTATCTCATTTAGAGGACCTCAAGGAACGCATATTCGATTTGCAAAAGAGAATATCACGCCTTATGGATTCAACATTCGATTCGCATCGTGGACCGACGCTATTACTCACAACGCGTGTGTTGAGTGGCTGGCATGCCCATAAGCAACATTTATTCCACTTTTTATATCATGCTTTCCTACTTTCTGTTTCACGTTCGGTCTCTATACGCACAAATATTGCCAAATGACATTATTCCTTTAAATAATATTTTCCTAATTGAAATTTTCACATGTTGAAACTGGTAAAAACATCCCATAAGGAATGAACTGAATTCTCATTGTAGAAATCACTAACAGTCAGTAGATACAATTGTTTCAAATGATTTTGTTAATCTTGTACTAATCAAGAAAATTTCGAACGCGAACGTCACAATCTTGTGTCGTGATGCGAAAAGACGAATCTCATTTAAACCATTCAGAGAGAGTGTGTGTGTTTATGTTCCCTTCATTAATACTCACATCCCCACCCCGATACCCACTTCCACACCCTACATAGCCGGGCTATAGTTAGTTCATCGTTGCGTATGGATACGAGCCCACGAATTCCACACTCTTATGCATGAAAAAGAATTAGACCACTACGTTAAAAAGTATATTGTCATCAGACTGAAAAGGGTGTACAAATCGAATCTGTCATCGTCACTCTTTTTTGAGGGTATAACCTTTTGGACTGATTTCAAGAAAAGAAAAAATGATGGATTAGGCCATTACTTTCAGCAACAAAGAGTAAAAGGCATGATAAAAAATCATAAGTCACTACCTGGAATACGGTTAGAATTTGCTCACGACAATTTATTAGCCCCACTTTCAGCATCTCAGCCCTCTATAGAAAATAAAAAATCCTCAGTTTCTTAGTCCTTTATATATATTCATACATAATAGACTCGATCTGAATGAGGATATAAAGTATTTGCAAATATTATTCTCGTGTCTTCCCCTTCCATTGTTCCTTTTTCTGATTGTCAACTTCCCTCTTTCTTCCTTCACTTTTTTGTACTTCTTTCCATTTTGTAAGCGCTTCAGAGCATCACAAATAAACAACGCATAAACAAAAAAAAATTCTTACCCCCACCTAACCACACCCATCCTATTCAACTTCAGTCTTATGTTGATCGGAACGACTGAAACACAAGTAGTAGCTACTTGCATTCTAATTGTCTTACAGAAAAAAAAATATTTTGTTAAAGTTCTATATACTGAAAATCTTTCACATTTTTTCAATGCTAATGCATGGATAAGAACAGGCTTGCCGATTAGGGGGGGATGGGGGGGGATTTCCCCCCGCTAAATTCGGATCCTTTCTGCCAATTTTTTTTCCGCTGTATTTCTACGTTTTTCTGCTGAAAAATATTTTTTCTCCCTTTCGTACAACCTATGTATAAACAAAATTTAAGAAGATGAATTTCTCAAAATTTCCTCTCCGCGATGCATGCATACTTATTGATTAGTGGTAGCAATGCGAACAGTTTAGTCATATTATCCCTCTTTCTGGCAAAAATAGATAGATAGCATCAATAATATATTTTCTGCAAACTTCCCGCAGAAAATCAACTTGAGAGTACTTTTCTTTGGCAGAAAGCTCATATATACTCTTTGCCTAAAATTTTTGGTGAATTTCGGTCTGCTTTACTGCTCATTGTCGAGTTGTGATTCCAACTGTGTCCAATATACGACGTGTAAAAGTGAATTGAACTTATTTTATTCAAAATAATTTATATTTCAACGAACCCATTCGTCATCGGCACAGTGAACAATAAATATGTTATATATAAAGTGCTGCCAGTGCGAATTTCAAGCAAAATTTTTTTTTCACCTTTCTTTTACATCATTTGATAGAGTGTGAGCTGCTGATAACGAAAAACTACTTTTTAGCGCCAGAAAATGCTTCTTCCGGGTTGAAAAATACCAAAAAAACACATCGTTTTCAAAATGTGCAAACTTTTCTGCTTCCTTCTTTTTTCCAGCTTGTAAAGATATTTTTTCAAATTCAGCATAAAAAACTGAGTACAGACAAGTTGTTAGATCGAGTCCAATCTAAAGAATTTTTTGATGATGGTGTTTCGAATCGCACCGAGTGCAATACGTATAGGCCGATTTTGTAAGCCTATCTAGTTTTTTTACGTAAGAGATGAAGTCAAATATTTTATCGCATTTAACTCATCATACCACCAATCACAAAAGAACGCATCGCGTTTTTTTTCTTTTCTTTTCTTTGTTGAGAACTGTTTTTCTGAATTTTGGGCTAAATAGATAGAATTTGACTCGTATTTCTCCATTTTCTTCATAAAAACTAAGCTTTCGTGCAATAACCTTATCATATTCGGAAGCACCGCGAAAAACTGAATCAATTAATGTATGTTTCGAAAAATTTCGTCACCTTGAATTTTTTGATGAAAATTTCAGCCAGGTCTTCTCCGAAAATTAAAAAACTGAAGTCAATGGAAAAGGTTAAATCATATATCAATGGATTCAGTTTTTCGTACTGATTCCGAATATGATAAGATTATTGCACGAAAACTTAGTTTTTATGAAGAAAATGGAGAAATACGAGTCAAATTCTATCTATTTAGCCCAAAATTCAGAAAAACAGTTCTCAACAAAGAAAAGAAAAGAAAAAAAAAACGCGATGCGTTCTTTTGTGACTGGTGGTATGATGAGTTAAATGAGATAAAACATCTGACTTCATCTCTTACTTAAAAATCTAGATAGGCTTACAAAATCGACCAATGCGTATTGCATTCGGTGCGATTCGAAGCGTCATCATCAAAAATTTTTTTTGAGATCGGGGTCGGTCTAATAACTTGTCTGCACTCAGTTTTTGATGCTGAATCTGAAAAATATATCTTTAGAAGCTGGAAACAAGAATATAGCAGAAAATTTTGCATACCTTGAAATCGTTTTTTTTCGAAAAAAACGACGTCCTTCAAGTTTTTCGTGATCAGCGGCCCACACTCTATCAAATGATATAAAAAAAGGCAAAAAAAATTATTTGAAGTTTGAATTGCTCGCACCTTAAAATGTCTTCATTTTTTGAAAGTTTAAAAATATTTGAAAGTGTCTTTGCTTTTTGACGAACATGATCTTGTTTGTTACTCTGAAAAGATTTCTCGATGAACTAAAAATTGTATAAAAATTGACTTTCTGCCAAATTTTTATCCCCCCCCACTCCTAAAAACAATCGACAACCCTGGATAAGAATGGCAGAATGTTTGATATCACAGTGAGTAATTCACTTATAACTGATCGTTTTGATAGATTTGAGACATCCAAGTCAACAATTGATATTTCTTTTTGTTTTTTTCTTTGTGACACATATTATATCTTATGATAAACTTCTTTTCAAAAAACTAAGATCTGCTTTTAGATGAATTTATTTTATATGTATGTTTTACAAAGTAAGAAAAAAGAAAAATATTTATGAGGAAACATTCTATACAGTCTTGTTCTTTTGATGATTGTTGACTTAAACAAGAGGATAACTAGCCATGGTAGCAATACCACATTGATTCTTCTTGTTACGACTCATCCAGATGTATCCTTCATTACCCCATGATGTGCCCCATGAGTTTTTGACAATATAATATTCATGTTTACCATCTGTGTCATAACCAACAGCTAAAACACCATGGCAAAGTTGTGTTGATGAGCAGTTTGGTTCATCATAAACACCTGATTTATAGAATTGAAATGAAGGTTGTGTTGCATCAATAGCAGCTGAAATAGGACCAACAGTACCAATAGCCATTTGAAGATCGGTTTCATTCTGAGCCTTAATATCAATAAAACCCTAAAATATGATAATGATAAACTTAGATATGTTCAAATACTCTATAAAAGATTAATAGTTACTGTGTCAGTAGCACCAACATCAGCTTTTTTGAATCGACATTTACCATCACGAGCTTCATATGGATAGCTTTCTTCAGTATCAACACCTTTGTTAGCTTTGATATATTGAAAAGCAGAGTCCATCAAACCGCCACTACAACCCATGTTACCAAATTTGCCTGAGCAGTCAACTAAGTTTTGTTCTGAAAGTGAAACAAGTTGTTTTGTTTTGGCAAAATGTTGACCTTCAAGTGAACCAGTAGCTGAAAAAGCCCAACATGATCCACATTGTCCTTGATCTTTGACTGGTGTTACATAACCTTCTTTGCGCCAATCTATACATACATATTTTTGAAGATTTATTATTATGTTATAATAATATCAGTGCAAGAAATCTACCGATAGCATCTGGAATAGCAACATGTGATGGAGCTAAAAATGTGTGACGATCAAACTTGTTTGTTTTGTTGGTGATTTTTAAACCGTTCATTTGCTGTTTAAATTCTTCATGAGTCTAAGTAAACAAGTATAATCTATTATCATACATGATGATCAAAAAAACGTCTACCAAATCACCAAATCGGTTCATTCCTAATGTATAAGTGTGAATGCCAATGTCAGCTTCAAGATTATGTTGGTGAATTTTGGCAACATTAGCTTCCCAAATATTTCGACTGGGAAGAAAATAAGAAATATCATTTTCAGTTTATAAAAGAAAATATGTGTGATGACATACCGAGCATTTTCTTCTTCAACTGAATTGTAGTGTTTTTTATGAACACGTTTGAATAAAGTCCATGCATTCCCAAGTTGATCATCAAGCATGGGTGCGCAATAAGCGCCTGCAAAGAGGATACAAAGTGCAATAAAGGCTTTCATTATTGATATTGCTGATTGTCGATGAAATGCAACTTGTGTGAAGTGAAACAAACGTCTGCATTTATAATTGTTGCCACTTTTGCGTAGTCATAATACAATGCAAAGATAACGTCAGTTTGTTTTATATCGTTCGAGAAGAACAAAATGTTTTTCTTTACACCAAGTCATGATAACAGAAAAAAAAACATTCGATTACTTTTAAAATGTTTTTGCTCCCCGTGAAATTTTACTTGGTGTATCTTTGTTTGATTCTAGACTCAGTGGAGTATTGTAGAGTTAATCGACAAAAAATCGGATGGTTCATCGACACATCCAAATGGATGTGGTTGAAGCCGTATGTTTTCTCATAAAAAAAATCTGCGATTAGGTAGTAAATGTCGTTTAAATTTACAATGCTTTCGACAATAAGGCAAATCCATAACGATAGATCTAGTTCCATCAATAACATGGCGATAAAAATCTCAAATATCTTCACTCTGGTTCAATGAAATGGGCTGCGAGGTGGGGTGTCGATGTGAATGTGAGTGTGAGTGTAAGTAGCTGTAGATAGGTGGACGTTGACGAATAAAGCTCTTAGTCTCAGATCACACCTCACACATCACGCACAGCGACGTCTTTGCAAAGCTACAGTAGACTATATCCTTTATCATATTTCTTCATACTAGTGGAAATTGGATGGCACGGAAATCATCTGATCAATTTTTTGGGGCATGGCGCATCCTTATGTCTACTAAAACATCTCTAGAGAATGTACTGAGCCAAGGGTACTCGAAAAAGTATCCTGTTACTAGTATGTCGCAGGAACTGAAGGGTACTAAAGTATTTAAAAGTACTTTTAGGTACTTATATGGTACTTTGGCAGGTACCCTGTTGCAACATGTTCAGTAAATGGGTAACTGAAGGCACTGTTCAAGTACTCAATTGGGTACTATCGCACAGTATTTCTACGTACCCTGATGAAAAAATCCCAGTATTTTCAGAATCGAACCTGACCTTCAGATTGCTTTTCTCATTTTCAATTATTTAGTATAAATATTTTTCCAAAATATAAATCTGATGATCTATTATTACATTTTCCATTGTATAAAGAAGATCAATAATCTCATTTCTTTCGGAATTCATATAAAAAAAATGAATATTGAAATATCAACGATATTATAATTTTGAGGTATCTGCTAATATAAAATGAAAAGAAGATTTAATATAGTCTTGAAATTATCAAAAATATTTACTAAATATATAAAAAAGATTACATCCATGACATTAGAAATGCATGAAAAAAATTAACAGTAAAAAGAAATAAAGTATTTATAAACCGTATTTAACATGAATAATAAAAATTAAAAGTTTTATTCATAATACCACGATTGTATCGTTACCGTTCAAAATTGCTTTTACCAAAAAAAAATATTATCAGATATCCACAAAGGAATTTTTATAATAAAAAGACAATTAAATACAATCATTTAATCAAGACAAAACAACCAAAAAAAGTGGTCGAAAACTGAAACATATTTGTCAAGAAAAAGCTGATTAAAAACATCACTTTCTAATACGATTTAATTCTATCAATTTCTATCTAAAACTTTTGAAATTCCATCCTTCTTTCATTAAACAAATTTATGAACTGAATATTTGATCATATCTTGGTTCATACACACAAACTATCTCTTTTAAAAAACCTATCAATCATCATTAAATTATCTGTATCATTTCGATTTGTTTATTTTCTGCTTAAAATAGCAAAGGAATTTCAAAAGCATTCATATAAATTGTAAAAAATAATTTTAAATTATTAATATCAGTTATTTTGATGCAGTGCATTGATATGCTTTTCTTTAATATATGCATTACACAAAGAAAAGTAGGGTACCTTGTTGAGCTTTCTTCAGTAACATTACAGGTGCACGTACCGATGCATGTACTTGCTCAGTAAACATACTGGCATAGATACCCAAGAAAATACCTATATCGATAATATTACTGAGAATTTTCAAAGTACCCACATCAGGTACATTGCTGAGACTTTCTCAGTATATGGGTACCCTGAACTCATTACTTTCTCTAGAGATCAAGTATCCTCTTCAATCAGTTTCTCAAAATAGTTATTTTGAGTATTCAAGTGTATATTTAAAGTATATTTTAATTCACTGGGGAAAAAAATGTTTCAATATAAAAAACACAATATATATTGTTCAACACTTTTTTCAAAAAGCGAACACCATCAGAATTAGATTCTAGAATTTTTTTTATTCTTTTAAACCATTTCGAGCACGGATAGGATTTGAAAAATAGTTTGATTGACTGTAATATATTTTGTATCAACGACATGTATTCGATTGTTTTTATCTTGAGTTATTAATAAACCTCCTTAGGTATGTCGAATCAGTATCAAGACATATTTATTGACCTCATTTAAATCATTAAATCATCGTTGTTGCGCAACAGTAGAGGAACGACAATGTACCATGTTCAGATTTAATGATTTTGTGACTGTGGAATCACCATGAGCATCATTTGTAATGATAAGATTAGGTTTTGTTCTAATAGACACATTGCATCAAGAATAATACAATTAGAATTTCTGAATAAATTAAGATTTGACTGTTTTGCCGAAGTTAAAATAGGATACTCCTCGGTAAACTAATTTGTTTGTTTCGTGAAATAGTTTGCAATTTTCTGCTGAAGTAGTTTGTCTTTTTTTCTATTAGATATAAAACTGTCTATTTAACATATGGTTCATTTGTTTTAAACCTGATGATTTTATCTATCTAATATCGTATGTTTATCAGCATCATTACTAGAATGTCTCAGAATTTGGTGATTGCACCTGCGTTAATTTCAGAAATTTGTTTTATTCCATTAAAATACTGCAATCACGTGATCAATCGAGTTCACTTCGACATTTCCTTCAGTGATCGAAAGTAATCTTTTCAGGAAACCTCCCGCATGTGATTCTCGAACGACTCCAATAAATACAAAGACCAAATATTAAATAATTTGATCAAACCAAAATACGAACAATACAAACTTTCTTGGGATAAATTCAAACGCATGGGATATAGTAACTTTGTACGTTCTGGTTTATTTTTTCGGTTGATTTCATTCCAAAGATCAACATATTATCATCAAAAAGGTAACAAACATAAATATAAAACAATTCTGAATATTTTATTTTCATTATATGACACTCATAATTAAACATTCTCGGTTTTGGATTGAAAATTAAAAAAAAATGTTAAACGTTCAAGATTCAATATTAAAATAGCAATTCCACAAACAGGATGTAGGGTGTGGGTATTCATCTCATTAAAATCACATCCACACCCACACCACCCTCCAATATGACAGAAATTGTAAAACCGAGGCGAAAAGTTCATCGAGAGTCATGAGAAACAGAAAAGGCTTAGTCACAACTAAATGAATAAGATGGAGTGTGAGTGGATGTGATTTTTGTGAGATGAATACAGACAACCATACATACCTGCACCCTTTAGTCGAATCCACCTTAAAACAACAAAAGATACTAGTTAGAACGTGTCCCAGGAACTTCAGATTACCATTCACTGACACAAGAACACACTGATCGAGAACGAAACTGCAACAGTAGAGGAACGAGTTATCTGAGAACGATAGGTCAGACATGGAACGCGTTTAGAGATATGATAGATTTGCAGATCAACGTTTTTTTTCCATGGGTAACCAGCAAATGGTTAATAGTAAAGCTCAAATCTTTACATAGTAAGCAGAAACTACCACTCATAGCATATGTGTTAAGATATCATATTGACTATCTAGGTAGTTTATCGTCTCTTGAATAGCACGAAACAGAAAGTCTTCTTCTTTTCTTTTTTTCAGAAGTAGTAGAAATATGTGTAGAAGTAAAATGCGTGTTTAACGAAGAGAGCTAAATCAATCTCTTTTCTTATTGTTTATAACTCTAGAAAAAAATAAATAAACTCGAATTTAATTGTACCAACAAGTTAGAATACTTAGCTGTTTCTTATTTTATCGCTTTTCTTTCTCTTCACGAGATACT